CCGTGCACGACGTCGTTGTGGCCGAGCTGGCCGCTGACGCCCGTGCCCACCGAGTATGCGTCGCCTTCGTTCGCGAGCACGACGGTAAAGTTTTCGCCGCACGCGACGTCGCGCACCGAGAGGCCGGCGAGGCTCGGGACCAGCGTCGGCGTCGCCTGCAGGAGCAGGTCGGCGTCGCCAAGGCCAAGCTGCCCGTCTTCGTTGTCGCCCCAGGCAAAGATGCGCGAGAGCGGCTTGCCCTTGGGCGCGGGGATGTGGCCGGCGCAGAACTTGCAGAACCAGTCGCCGTCCGGGACAGCGAACTTCTTGTTGAAGTTGTTGCGCGGCTTTTCCTGGCAGCAGACGCAGCCATGGTGGCAAAAGGTGTGGAAAGGCGCGTCGCAGCCATCGCAGAGCACGAGGAACTCTTCGTCGTCGGTCTTGCCGCAGACGCGGCAGGGCGCGTCCTCGTCCATGCTGCTGCGGCTACCTCCTGCTTGCTGCCGCCCAATACAAACTGGGGCCGAAACGGACCCGGCTTTACGACCGGATACCATCCGGATGACCCCGGCGCGGCCACGCGATGCTGCCAACGATGGACAGTCGTGGACTCGTGCGAGCAATGACGGTGCTGCTTGCTGTACAGATCGTTGGTACCACATATCCTCTTGGCAAAATGGTCTTCTTGCATTCCCTACGCATCTCGCTGTCAATGGAATGGCCGCGGTACAAAAGGACCTCATGCCATGACGCACCGTTGGTCAAGGTAGAGTGCTACTCGGTAGTGTTCAATTTACTGCAGTACGAGCGTTGCTAGAGTCAGGCTTGGGACGGAAAGCGCCAGGCTGCTCGCAATCAGGCCTAACGTTTGTGGTAAGGAGCGTGGGATGAAGACCAAGTAACGAAGAAGGCTCGGGATCTCTCTCAGACTCTCGAACGAGCGTAAATCGCACATCGGACACATACCTCGACCTACTGGAATGTCGTCATCACAAGCCTCCGCGCAATTAATGATCTGTCTCGAAACGCGCGCGAAAAACCGACTTGGGGCGCGTACTCGCCGCTCCGGCTGCCACGTATGGCAGGTAAGCATCCGGATAGGAAGCATACAAATTGAGAGAGCTGCGGCGCGTGCATCCGGACACCTCGACGGTGACCATCGGATCCTGACCCGCTTGGGTATTCGTAGTTGACGGCATTTGGAGGACGTTGAGCGAGCTCTCCGGCAGCACTGCAATATAGGTCCTTCTGCTCGCCAACGGGACGCCATCGATCGGCTTGTGGCTTCTGTTGTGTGAATCCGCTCGCGCATAAGGCTCTTGTTCGATCGAATGCCCCCTTTGTGGTAACTTGTACTTGCTCTAGTTTTGGATGGGTTGGTCAACCTTGCCGCACGTTTCTTGTCTGCAAGAGTGTGCCATCGGTAAGGCTTCTTTGCGTCTCACGTCATAGGCTGCAAGGCTCATCATCCTTTAGCCCACCATGCTACACGACAGTGAGAGACGAACTACCACCAAGCCAAGTCGCACCCGGGAGACGTTCCTCCACAGGTTCTTCGCACACTAATAGTCTCGACACCACAATGATCTACAACCGGGTCATTGGAGCTAGAACGCTTCGTAGACTAGTTGTCGTACTTCATCTAATGTTATCATGTCCGTCGAGTTCCTGGCGCTAACGATGGCTGTCGAAGATCTGGCAATTCTAGAAGATTCAGGCCAGAATATTGGGTCCCTAGTGTGGGGACCCCTCCATGTCACTTCAAACGGAGCGAATGGCATTTTTAGATCTACCGGTCCTTGGCTGGCACCTCGCACGACACGAGCATCATGTACAATACGTTTGTATTGACAATATACATTATGGTCCAAGGACTCGCGTTCTTCTTCATCAAGATCGATCAAAGTATACGCTGGACCATCCTGTCGTTTTAATGGTACCCCTCTTTCCATTTATGGTACCCCGTTCTACCTCCCGATAAAGTACGGTCGCGGTTCCACCCAATCCGTGGTCATCATTTGATTCGTGTGAAGCCAAGGACGACGAGAAGGATGATGCTGCCTGCTGCTGCGCGTCGCGCCGCCCCGCGCCTCATGGGCCTCAAGCACGGACTGCCGACGATGCACCTGCTACCCGCGATGCACTTTCACAGCTCGACGCCGATGCGGAAGCGCGACTTTTACGAGGTGCTTGGCGTCGCGTCGGGCGCGTCCAAGAATGAGATCAAGAAAAAGTACTACGAGCTCGCCAAGAAGTTCCACCCGGATACGAACAAGGACGACCCGAACGCGGCCAAGAAGTTCGCCGAGGCCACCGAGGCCTGGGAGGTCCTCGGCGACGACGACAAGCGCCAAAAGTACGATACGTTTGGCCACGCCGGCGTTGACCCGAACGCCGGTGGCGGCGACGGCTTCCACGGCGGCTTTGAAGACATCTTTGCGTCCATGTTTG